ATGGGATATTTGGTTCTTTTTGTGAAACGACAAATGACAGTACTTCCCACCAATGAACATTTTGGACAGTGTGAATCAAATTCTGATTTTTTTATGATAAAAAAACATAAGTGGAATAAAAAAAATTCTATTTTTAAAAGACAATCAATCAATCTATCTTTATAGAAAAAATGTCATCCAAAAAGTAACAAATTCTATAAAAAATCTTTTACTCAACAACCCAACAAAACAAAACCCAGTCCCTGGCATACATCCATTCACATACACACACTTTTTTACCCCAACCATCCATTTCATTCCACTTTATGTGTTGCAGGGGTCACGGATGCAGCAGTCAAAGCAGAGATGCCCAGACTTCCCTCTACACACATCTCCTCCAGCTCTGAGGGAATCCTGAGGCATTCCCAGGCCAGCTGAAGAACACAGTCCCTCCAACGTGAGCTGGGTCTTCCCCTGGTCTCCTCCAGTGGGACATGTCCGGAACACCTCCCCAGGGTAGAGTCCAGGAGGCATCCGGAACCTCAACTGGTTGGTGTGGTTGGTGGTCCTCTTGGTGTGGAAAAGCAGCAGCTCTACTCCAAGCTCCTCCATTGTGACTCTTCACCCTATTTCTAAGGGTCCAATCTGCGGAAGAAGCTCATTTCGACCGCTTGCTCTCGCAATCTTGTTCTTTCGGTCATTACCCAAAGCTCATGACCATAGGTGAGGGAGGGAACAAAGATTGACTGGTAAATCGAGAGCTTTGCCTTTCAGCTCAGCTCCCTCTTTACTACTTGAACTTGTCCACTTGAGAAACAGTCTCTCCACCTACTTGGAGAGGGCAATGTTTCTTTTTCTGGTTGAGCCAAAAAAAAGCATAAAAAACATGGGACATGAGGCTGAGTGCAGGTAAAACCAGTTGCGTGAATGCAAGGGGTCTTGGGGCATGACAGATGCGTCAGTCCCCGTCACTCACCAAAACGTGTGGGTTGCATGCATCTACTCAAACGCTTTTAAATCATGCCATTGAAACCTAATATTGTTTTTGTTCAAGACGCTTTTTTTTTTTCTTCCTGCTCTTTGAACCTCAATTTTAATGTATAGTGTCTTCTTTCCTCTCGAAAAAGTATGGTCTAAAGGTCTGGCACAAGCCCCGTTCATTTGACGACTGTCTTCAAAATTCCACAATGACTAAACTAGACAGGTCCAAATAAATACACACCCCTCAGCATTGACACACATGTTGAACCAAGAGCAGACATTTGGACCATCCTGTAAAGACGGTTTCGAGAGGTAAGAAGATGCTATAACTTAGTATTGGCTTATTCTTATTCCGGGTCCACCCCCATTGGCCAGTGGTGGTATTGCAAGCATGTCAGCGCACGTCATTTTTGACATTTTGTCAATGCTGAGGGGAGTATATTTTTTTGTTCCACTCTTGTTCAGCCGCTGTGGACTTCATACGGCACTCAATAAAATAATGAGTGACTTTGTGAAATTTGGAAAAAATAGAATAAAATTTGCTCATGTTTACTCATACAAAGTTTGACATGCACCAAATTTGAGTCAGTTTTTCAACTCCTGGGTCTACGTCACCTAGATGTGAAAAAAGTTAAATTGCAGTCATAGCGCCCCCTATAGAGTGAGCCAAAGGTATACATGGGGGGGAAAACATTTGTTTAAAATGTTTGCAACATTTGTCACAAACGCAATGACCCAAAGCTCGAGCTACAAAACGTGTCAAAAGGCCAGAGCAACGGTTTTGTTAAGTCCTCTGAGATGACTGTTGTGATTTAGGGCTATTTAAAAACAAAGTGAATTGAAGTAAATCAAGTCTGTAAATTAATCTTATTGAATGTCTGAAACAAACACGCTCCATCTAATCTGACAGAGCTTGAGTTGTTTTATTTATTTTTATTTATTTGTTTATTTGACAGGGACATTGCACAATAAATGTATTGTTCAGACCGGATATAGCTACAAGCTAATTTTCATCCGTAGTCCCTGAGGCAGAGGCAACGTGACAGCAGGTTTACAGTGTGCAAAGAATTGATAAATAGAAAGAATGAATGGCCTAATTAAAATACAGATAAAATACAACACCTCTAAATCACACAGACACAATTCAATACATACAAAATATACATCACACAATTATTTACATCTGGATGTAAACATTACATCCAGATGTAAACCATTACACAACATTATAAAGATGGGAAACTGAAAGCTTGTATGGCCATACACCAAAAGACTGCTGTGAATGCAGCAAAAGCACAACATATTAGCATTTTTATATTTATTTATGTTACTTTAACTTTACACTTGTGTGTTAATTTGTTGTGGTTTATCAAAAATAACTCAAAAATTATGGTAAACATGACAACATGAGCTAAAGTTCAAGTTGAATTCGTACTTTTGATTGAATAGCACAACTCTATACTTAAATGAAAGGAAATATATTTACTCTAGTGCAAAGACACATTTAATAAATATAAGATTTATATATCTTATGTTCTACTGTATTCAGAAATGGGGTTGTCAGTGGACAGTTGTATGAGCTGCATGAAGACAGCACATGTGGAAGAGGCAGATGAAGGATGAGCTTCCTCTTCCTCTCACAGCGGAAGTCAGGGTCACATCAAAGGAGCGTCCGTGGTGACCTGTGGCCTGACCGTGCGGCCGCCCCTCTTTACGAGCCGCTGCGGAGAATCCATTATGCACAGAGCTCCACCACATACACACGCAGGCATGCGCGCAAGCGCACACACGCACGCACGCACACACACACACGCACACACATATATGCATACACAAATGGAAAGAACCATGTAACAATAACACTCTAAGTCTTTTAAAAAAAAAGTTTTGAAACTAAATTATTTTTGGCATTAAAACTAAGTTATTTAATTCACATCTGTGTTAGGAGCAGGTTATTCTTGAATTTGACGGAAAAAAACAAAACAAATTCAACTCCTCCCTCTGGTGGTAGCATAGGGAGTTATATATGATAGCCATATATGTTATACTTAAAGGAGCTATATGTAAAAATCTGACCAAAAGTGGTGCTGCGATCACGGTCAAAGTTCTGCAGTCCTCTCCTTCTCTTCCTGGCTCAGGTTGCCGGATACACAGCCAAATCCAGCTTTGACCATAATAGCTGAATAGCTAAACCACGCATCTTTGTTTTCCACTTGCAGATGCCGTTAAAGTCACTAAATCCTCAACTATACACTATACAACACTATGTCTCCTCATTAGCCAGCATTGTGAAGAAGTCCATCCATCCATCCATTTTCTGCCCTTTAATCCATTTCTGGGTCAGGGGGGTGGCAATCAGAGATGCCACCCAAGTCTCATAGCACCAGCCCCTCACTGACCCTCTGCAGGTGGTGAGTCCACAGGAGGACGGCTGCTCTCTGAGTGTGAGCAGAGCCTTGATCTTTCAGTGGGGGCTTTGGGCAAAGTGGGGTTAAGTGTCTTGCCCAAGGACACAAATTGTGAAGAAGTATTGATGCATAATTTATACTGTAGCAAGTAAACACCTATCCACTACAGTCCATGCTATCCACTAAAAGCAGTCAAACCAAGGAGTTACATAAATATGTCAAAACCATACACTGTAACGCTCTGAACCAATGTGAAGTCAGGAAACTTATTGAGGCAATGAAACACTGACACAGTTGATACACAAAGCAAAACTCTAGCTGCAGAATCCGAGACGCTGAAACGTTTGACTGGCTTTGGTTGATACACCCTCCAACACAGGGTTTAGAAGCATCTGATTCAGGAATAGCAACACACTCTCTGGAACATCGGTGTTGTTTGCCCACCCCTACCATATAACTTGTCCACATTATGCAAATGAGGAATTATTTTGTTAAGTTTATTATTGTTATTTATCAATCAATCAATCAATCAATCAATTTATTTGAGCAGGTCATACAAAACAAAAAACAATCCAATAGGAAAACATTTCAAGAAAAAGTAGACACAGCTCAAAGGGAGTAAGCCGAAGTAAAATACTTGTGTGAGCTTACCCCAATTATCTATCTCTATACACATTGCCATGATAGCCGTGCTGTTGTTGGAAAATTTTTCTTCATCAAATTGTGAACAAAATAGGCACTGACACAACCCATGTCAACCCATGTCCAAAAAATATTTAGCCCTTTCAGTTTTGATTACGCATTATAATAAAGGCTATTGGGCATATATTTGTAGCATGTTTGTGGATGTGTAATGGTTCTGGGGACAAAAGTTTCTATGTCCCTAAATTGTCTCCCCGATGGTAATCCTTGTTTTAGTCCTTCTTTTCTTTTTTAATGATGTGAGAATCATAACTAAGCCTTTTTTGTACTGCGGCCATTTGTTACTCAGTGAGTTCTGGCAACCCGGATCATGAACTTTCTAACTGGTAAAACAGTGGAGGGCGTGACATCAAATTGAAAACAATAACAAGATTTAAGAAATGTCAATGTAATTTTGAAATTTGTATATCCCTTTTGAACTGAACTTATCAGTTAAAGAAGTATTCAAAAAGACCATTATTTGTTTATGCCTTTCAACATATTAGGGCCATTTAATGATGACTTGACATGCAAATCTTACCTATAGCTCGTTTCAGCTTTGATTTCACATCTAAAAATATGTAATGGAAAATGAAAAGTCAAATTTTAATTTCAAAGTGTCAAACATAATGCCTCCAAATTAGTAATGGGAGATGCTTTGCTCAAATTAAGCTATCTACAACAGCGTGCCTCTAATAAATCTCTCCACTTTGCTGTAGATGTAAATCTAAGAGAATTATCTATCCATCCATCCATTTTCTTCCCCTTAATCCATTTCTGGGTTGGGGAGATGACAGTCAGAGCTGCACCCAGTACACAGAGCACCAGCCCCTCACTGATCCTCCTGCAGGTGGTGAGTCCACAGGAGTAATATACTTTATACTTTAACAAACATGAAAGCACAACGGATGCAACGGTTGAATAAATATGACAGTATTTTCAAAGCGGCGAATGGCGGTTGACCTGATACAGTGTGTGCGCACTGGCGCAGAAGCCAGTGCGCTGGGCGACCCGCGTGCATTAGCTCAGTGTGGAGTGGTTTGTTTTTCTGAGGGCCTCTTCAGCTCACACAGGGGCCCCTGCATTATCGGGTCACAGTTGAGGGCCCCGTACTCACACAGCTTTAGAGCTGCGATGCACGCCTCATTCATATTCTCCCTGCGTGGTTGCAACACGCTCTCTGCTGTGTGTGGCCCACATCTGCAATCTCTACACTCTCTAGATCTGTGAGGGAAACCATGTGTAAGCAAGACATGACCAACGTCTGTCTACTCTGTGTGATGACCTACGCCACCTGAGATGATATTGATCTGAAAATATGTAATAGAGGCTCTGTTCAGATTAAGTTAGAGATCAGCAGTATTTTACCCCAAAATGGACAAACATACTGCACTGAGCCTGCAAAATATTTGCAAGTTGCAAAGACTGAATATATTTTAACTTTACAAACACATTTCTCATTCCAAGTGACAATGTATAAAAAAACTATGATTTTGCCGAATACGTGCGCTTGCCTGTCATTGTGCTGGTGTGTGTTTGAGTGTGTGAATGCATCATGCATGCTCCCGCAGTGATGGGACGTCCCGTACTCTTCATAGCTCACTGACAGCAGACAGAGAGCTGACACAAGCAGGCCAACACACTGTCATGGTCAGGGCAGAGTCAACACATGCGAACACATGCACGGGAGTGCACACACACACACACACACACACACACATTGTTTTCATAATTACACACTACAACAATTCCCATTTGTAAAATAAATAATAGAAAAGCACAGTCCAATATTTGATGTGGATTTAGGGCACACGAGTGTGTGTTTCATTGTGTGTGTGTGTGTGGGTCAGTGTGTGCGTGAGGGTGCATAAGGCACAGGGATGGCGCGTGCTCTTGTTTTTACATGACTGCTACATTATGCGGGCCCTTGGTGCGTCTCAGCGCAGTTAATGGGGCCCCGCCGTGTGGGCCTTTATCCCAGGACCGTTCCAAAGCACATGAACGCACACTGGCTGCACACGCTTTACTCTGTTCTTATGTTTATGCAATGTGCCCCTTTTTATTTCATATTTTATTGTTAAAGCTGGGGTGATTTTCCCCATGGTAACCGCTGGTGACCATTAGTCATATTTTGGTCATATTATAAGTTTGGTCTGTTTATAGTGTATTTTATTCCCTCGGTCAAATCTTTGGATCAGCTTTTTCAGTGAGAAAAATGACAAAAAGAGGACATGATGTTTTATAACAAGATGGGACAGCATGTTGTTGTCTGATTTGTTCACATTTCACTTTTTCAACTTTCTCAGTTGGGAAATAACTGCTGCGTTTGGATTTTGGGGAAATGTAGGGTTCAGGTTGATGATGCCACAAGATGGAAGCCCCTTCTTTCTCTTTCCAGCTGACATTGGATTATGACATTTGTTGACATCACCCATTGGACATGTCCACAGCCAGAGTGCACTAAGGCACTATTGCTTTTTGAGCTACTTCCATTGAGCAATTGAAGACTCTCACTATCTGACTATGGTATGATTCATGAGTTATTCTGTTTATTATTATTGTTAGGTTTAGTTGAATAAAAATGCATGTAATTTAAACTAAAATCTTAACTAAAATGAAGAAAGGGTTGGGGTTAGTTTTGTTGTTGTTGAGAAAACAGGTTCTCATCAGGATTTTTTCCTACTTTGAAAAGACTTCATAAAAATATAAAACCTTGGTCTGTGAAATGTGCTATATGAATAAAGATGACCTACTTCTATGTTGACAACATTTTACTTTTATGACACTTTCTATTGAAACAATCGAGCTGAGCAGAACTGTGTTAGGAAATTACCCAAAGGACTAACAACCTGGAGCTGTCGTCATTGAGCTGTTTTGGAAACTATTTTGTAACATCATTAATCTTGCTCATCATAGTGGACAATTTGTCGTGAAGGCAAAATGAACTGAATCCAAAATGCAGGTCTGCAAAAATAATTATTTAATCAAAGCAAATACAAAATAAAGATAAAGATAAAAATACAAAACCCCTACCAAACTCGGAACAAAGACAACAACGAGGAGAAGTGGAACTGACAATGACAGGACAAGGAGTCTAGGAATCCACAAGGTTTAAACACACAATGTTGACAATGCGCTATATGGATACACTCTACTTACTTACTACAAGACTAACAGTACACAGGTATTACACATAAGGGAAGGAAAGATGATCACACAATAGGAAGTAGAACCAAGGAAGATACAGGAGTTGACAAATTACAAAACAAAACCGGTAATAACCCTAAACCATGACACAATCTTTAAAATATGTATATTTTGTGTTGTATCCACAGGCTCCCAAGAACATATATCCATAAACACTTAGTATGTAGATGCACGTGTAAATACTTTGATATTGTTTTTGCTGTAGTTTTAGTTGAATGACTTATATTAAATGTATTGTCACAGGTAGAAGTAGACACCTCTCTATCCCTCCACGTGTGCGAGCTGCAGTCCTGTTCCCACACTCATGCCCACGTAACACATCAGACACGGACACATCCATCTGCCCGCGGCCCCTCAGCCCTTCGCCTGTGTGGGGGCCCCGGTGCTTCCTCTGGCTGTGTGTTATGCTAACAGCCGTGGCTCCTGTCAGCAGGCCGTACACTCAGATTTACAGCTACTCCCAGGTCAATATTTGTGAGATATTTAGAGAGAGAGAGACGCGTTTCGACTTCATACTGTTATTTAGGCCCAGTCCAGAACGAGGCAAAACCCTGTATTGTTTTGAAACTGTACTACATAAAGACAAAACCTGCCCTGTAAATGTATCTGTTGACAAACACTGACAAACAAATCCAATTCATCTGAGAGCAGGCCTGATGGCAGCGCTGTGAGGTTGAGACAGGAAACACATCACAAAGAGAAACGTCTCCCCCTCCCCTCCCCCGCAAATGAAAAAAAAAAAGATTTCACTAAAATGAGAAGAAACATTCTACATGGACTTATAAAAATCTCTATATATATAAATATATATAAATAACTCCTGCAGGAAACATCATATATTTGGTCAGTATGTACACAGACTGAAGGCAGAGCTGAGTGGTCATGTTGAAAAAGTTCTGGTAATGGAACGAGTATGGTACAACTCCAAATCTACCGATGGGTAACATTGATGCAGAGCTATAATGGTGGGAATCTGTACATGGTAATATTAGTACTACACTAAATATGTGTAGTGTACTACTGACAACTTGAACATCGAAAGTCGGGGTTAAAATACAGAGGGGGACATATTAAACATGTGGTGCTGCGGTCAGATGAAACTTAACTTTGTGCAAGAGAGGGAGAACAGAACCCCATCTACATCAATGGGACGGCGGTGGAGAAGGTTCACAGCTTCAAGTTCCTAGGAACGCACATATCTGAGGACTTGTCTTGGACCATCAACACCTCCAGCCTCGTCAAGAATGCCCACTACCTTTTTCTCGTCCCCTACCGTAATTTCTATCGCTCTGCGATACGACCTGGTATGCCCTCCACTCCCTGCCCTTGAGAAGATCTAGACTAGAGCCAGCGCTAGAGCCCCAGGCCAGGACCAGTAGGCATTGCTTGTCCTCCATAGCTGATGTGTTGTCTTCCCTGTCGTCACTGTAGGAGAAAGCTCCTGATTGGTCAACGCTCACGTCTTCTCCCAAAAAGTTCAACAATGTTCAACTCTAGCGTCGGCCGCGTTGGAGGCGCGGGAGCCCGTCAAAACCCTTGAAATCTCAAAACACTTGAAATCTCAAAACGCTTGAAATCTCAAAACCCTTGAAATCTCAAAACGCACCGCGCCAGAAGCGCAAAACACTCGAAGACGCGCCGCTCGGGAGGCGCGTGACGCGCCGCGTGATCTCTCAACGCTCCTTGAAGCGTGTCCCCCATGTATTTTCAATGTAAACCCGACGCTTTTTTAAAGAGACAGTTTTTATCACAGAGCAGTCACGCTCCTGAATTCTCACCCCATTAAAGCCCATTAGATGCACTTTAAAGTAATGTAATATGATTAATGCAGCAATAACAGCTTGTACAGTCTCACATATATGCAAATATATTCATCTGTAAATATTATCCTATACTTGTGCTATTGCACTACTGGTTAGATGCTAAAGTGCATTTAATTGCATTGTTCTGACTTTGTTATGACAAATCTAATCTAATCTACAGTCTTACCTCCTGCTACTGCTTATAGAAATGTATTAATGTGTACTCTCGCTCTGAAGTTACAAATAATTTACAAGTAATTTCAAAAATGTCATTCTCCGCAGATCCACTGCCAACAGTGTTGCCAGATTGTCGGAACGAGCGAATCCTGAGCCCTCCCTGACCATGTGGAAGCATGTCTGGGACAGTGCACCCATGGCACAAGGAGCAGGTATTTAAGTAAGTAATCTTTATTTATATAGCACCTTTCACTAAGTGCTTTACAATTGTTGTTGATATTTATCCGTGTGGAGTGAGATCGCCATACAGGAGGCGCATGCCAGACCTATTGCACATGTTTTTGGTGGTATGGGAAACCGGGGTACTCGGAGGAAACCTATGCAAACACTGGGAGAACATGCAAATTCCATACAGAAAGGCCTGGAGGTGGAATCCCTGGACCTTCTTGCTGTGAAGCGCTAACCACTGCGCCACCGTGGTCCAGCCCACACTATATACTGTATAAAAAGGTCTATGAGGTGTCAAAGAAGTCCACATCACCTCTGCTGCTGTGACTCCTCCTGCTCCACCCAGAGGCTACTCCACCTCTGCTGCTGTGACTCCTCCTGCTCCACTCAGAGGCTACACCACCTCTGCTGCTGTGACTCCTCCTGCTCCACCCAGAGGCTACACCACCTCTGCTGCTGTGGCCTGAAGTGCTGTTGCTTATCATTACTATTGTTAGGTTTCTAGAAAGATCAATCTTATTTTTTATTTCTGCTGCCACTAGACACCAGAAATTCTCCTACTGGGATCAATAAAGTATCTATCTATCTATGTCTGTTAATCCTGTGTTAAACCGGAGCAAACTCAAGAGTTGATCAAAGCAAACCAGAGTGTGCATCACAAACCTTAACATCCGTGCATTTCAGATCTCATCACCATATCGTCTTCGCCATCTCTTCGGCTGCTGCACAAATGCTTTTGTTCTACTTGTCAGCACAACTCCCAAGACAGCACTACTACTACTACTACTACTGTCTTGTGAATAAGTTACTGCTAACGCACTGTGCAATATGTGTGCATTAAGGTGCCTAAACATGATTTTTGAGAATAATTTCTATTTAGGTATGTGAAAAATTGTCAAGTGGAAAACATGTAGATCAACATAACTAATTAAGCAAGGCATGACAAAAATGACCAACACCCAGCCCGACCAGGACCAGCAGACCGGTGAATGAAATTGTATTCATTCATTTTCTTCCCTTCCATTTCTGGGTCAGGGGGTGGCAGTCAGAGCTGCACCCAGTACACAGAGCACCAGCCCTGTGTATTGAAATGATATAATTTTTTTATGTATTAATTGAGCAATTTTTGTGTGTGATGTCCGTTTTAATTAATAGACCTTTAATTAACAACAACAAAGAAAAGTCCTACTGACATTTCTGCAGACATGTGCCTACCCGGGACTCGCGTTTTTCACCGCTTTTTGCTGTGAGTTGCCCCTTTATGCTGTTACTTACGGTATACGTGGAAAATTAAGCAGCGGGATGAGCGACCAAAATGCAAAGTTTTTTTTTATCCCCTTATTCCCCTGGCTTCCCTTTCTACGTTTACCGCAGGTAACAGCATAAAGGGGTAACCCCCTTTTAATGTGCCGCTTCTTCGCTGTTCTTTTCTAAAGGACAGAAACTGTATCTGGCTCGGTACAACCGACCACACAACAAGAATTGACCTTTTGATTTAGTAAAACCTCTCTCCAAACGTCTAAAACTAGCTAACTCTCTAGCATCCAGGTAGCTTTCTATGCTGTTTTGCCACCCAGTCCCGTGACCGGTGCGGAAAAACTATAAACAACGAGGTCACTCCAAGAACCTCTACAGCAATCACCGATTCGTAGCAGAACACGTTAGATTTTAGAACAATACGTGATTTGTTATATTTATTTAGATACGCTGACTTTTAGATTGATGCCATGGAGCCATACGGTGCACTGTCGCCGCCCAGATCCAAGTTGTCTGCTGTCCCAGAGCAACCATCGGATAGCACAACAATGTATAATAAGTGACCAGAATCATGTTTAAGTGACCAGAATAAACATCATGTACTCTACGTCCTTTATTTTAATTTAATGTGGATGCAGCTAAAATAATACACCAAACCCTCCGGGATACCACACATGTATGAAATGATAGTCAGCCAAGGTGTTAAGGGTGAGTTTCGAACCCCAAAGCAAAGGGAGACCAAAGCAGTTTAACAGTGTCTATAATTAAACATATATACTCAAAAAAGGAGCAGGCCGGCCAGAGAGCAGAGCAAAGAGACCAGGACTGGACGAGCGCAGGATCTGGAAATTACACCAGGTAAGTCGTGTAATCCTAAAAACCAGGTAAGTGAAGAGGACACTGCGTAGCACTAACGATATGACGGAATTATCTGACGGACCAGGGTTAAATACAGAGTTGAGTGGAGTGTGCGGATGCTCGTGTGTCTTGTCAGCATCTCAGCAGAGACCGGCCACGCCCCCTTTCTCACACAGCTCTGGAAGAAGAGAGAGCAAAACAAATAGAACCATGACACAAGGCTTATTATAAAGCACTTTTCAAACAATAGTCTAATAAGACTGTATGTATGACGTTTATCAACATATATGACGTTTATCAACATGTATGACGTTTATCAACATGTATGACGTTTATCAACATGTATGACGTTTATCAACATGTATGACATTTATCAACATGTATCACGTTTATCAACATGTATGACATTTATCAACATGTATGACGTTTATCAACATGTATGACATTTATCAACATGTATGGACATTTATTAACATGTATGACAATTCTTAACATGTGTTCTATATTCTTTATGTGTTTTAACTGTTGATTCTCTGATCTGTGTTGGGGATTTCAATGGTTTTTTTAAGTCCTCTGAGATGACTTCTGTTGTGATTTAGGGCTATACAAGAATAAATTGTATTGTAAATTGTAAATACAGTATTCGGCCCCCTTGAACCTTTCAACATTTCGCCACATTTCAGGCTTCAAACAAAAAGATATTAAAAAAAAAAAAAATTCATGAATCAACAACAAGTGGGACACAATCGTGAAGTGGAACAAAATTTATTGGATAATTTAAAAGTTTTTAACAAATAAAAAACTGAAAAGTGGGGCGTGCAATATTATTCTGCCCCTTTACTTTCAGTGCAGCAAACTCACTCCAGAAGTTTGAATGATCCAATGTTGTCCTAAATGACTGATGATGATAAATAGAATGCACCTGTGTGTAATCAAGTCTCCGTATAAATGCACCTGCTCTTTGATTTCCTAAGCTTTAAACATCTCAAGGAGCACTGTGCAAGCAATTATATTGAAATGAAAGGAGTATCAGACCACTGCAAATCTACCAAGACCCGGCCGTCCCTCCAAACTTTCATCTCAAACAAGGAGAAGACTGATCAGAGATGCAGCCAAGAGGCCCATGATCACTCTGGATGAACTGCAGATAACTACAACTGAGGTGGGAGAGTCTGTCCATAGGACAACAATCTGTCGTGCACTGCACAAATCTGGCCTTTATGGAAGAGTGGCCAGAAGAAAGCCATTTCTCAAAGATATCCATAAAAAGTCTTGTTTAAAGTTTGCCACAAGCCACCTGGGAGACACACCTGCTTTTCTTCAGCAGGGACAGGGAAGATGGCTAAAATTGATGGGAAGATGGATGGAGCCAAATACAGGACCATTCTGGAAGAAAACCTGTTGGAGTCTGCAAAAGACCTGAGACTGGGACGGAGATTTATCTTCCAACAGGACAATGATCCAAAACATAAAGCCAAATCTACAATGGAATGGTTCACAAATAGACGTATCCAGGTGTTAGAATGACCAAGTCTAAGTCCAGACCTGAATCCAATCGAGAATCTGTGGAAAGAGCTGAAGACTGCTGTTCACAAACGCTCCCCATCCAACCTCACTGTGCTCGAGCTGTTTTGCAGGGAAGAATGGGCAGGAATTCCAGTCTCTCAGTGTGCAAAACTGATAGAGACATACCCCAAGCGACTTACAGCTGTAATTGCAGCAAAAGGTGGCGCTACAAAGTATTAGCGCAAGGGGGCCGAATAATATTGCACGCCCCACTTTTCAGTTTTTTATTTGTTAAAAAAATTTAAATTATCCAATAATTTTTTTTCCACTTCACGATTGTGTCCCACTTGTTGTTGATTCTTGACAAAAAATGATTGAAGCCTGAAATGTGGCAAAATTTTGAAAGGTTCAAGGGGGCCGAATACTTTCGCAAGGCAGTGTATATGTATAGTATGATGATGTAAAAGCACATTATTCAGATATTTCTTTTGTCATTAATAAA